CATCAATGGAATCAGAAAGGGATGCTCATGTATACGATAACAAATCCAGCTGGTGTGATGAACCAATGGCTGCTACAAAGTCGGTGCCAAAAATGTTGTATACTACTATGGCTTTTTCTTGTAGAATTTTCTTTGTGCGATTTTCTTTTGTTTTTTTAGTCGTACACACACATATTTTGATATTTTGACGTTTTTATTATTTGTTTTGGACCAAAATGAACGTCAATTTTAGACTAACAATATCTTTCATATCTGATCACGAATATTCGTACAATATTCAGATGAAAAAATAACATTTTAACCTAATTTTGTTTTTTTTTATGTAAAAATAAATAAAAAATAAATGTGATACTTTGAATGGTTTATTATTACATATGTTATTAATATTGGAGAGTGTTAGAATCTAGTTTCTGGTTTATGTTTGTTTAATGTAATGAATTGATTTCTATGCTTAAGGTTGATAATTTGGGTTTGGTCATGCTTGTAGTTAAACTCCTTTGTCTTCTACGTACATTCATTCAAACTTAATGAAGAAAAAACATTTTCTCCAAATCTTTTACCTTCCGATTATGGTTACATGTCCAAAACCTGAAGTGGTACCAGAGTCAAACATTGGATCCGTAACCATAATGAAACAAAATAGCAAAAAAATGAAGAAAATATACAACCATATATAAATCTTTTTATCACAAAAACCATATATAAATTTTGAATGTAGAAGATAAAAGAGTTTTAAATATACGTCAATATCCATACTGGAAAAGACCAAACTAAAGCATATAATTCATCTTGTGGTTAGTCTAGGTGATTGATTTATATGTTTTAGTTTAGTTATATATGGTTTTGACAATATGATTGTGCTCAAATCTCTTTATGTTTTCTACATATAAGTTTAAAACAGTATCTCCAAATCTCTTGTTCTCTGATTACGGTTATACAGTCCATTTTAAAAAATCAAGAAGTTGATTTTATATGTAATTTTCTTTAAGGAAAATGAGTTGACAACAATATTTGATCGCCGACACAAATTGATTTGTAATACCAATTAATAAGAAAAAAGTAGAATAAGACCTTCAATTATAAATTGGTTAGTATATCACATTCACTTGGTTATTCTTTATTAAATAAAATAAAACCTCCCTAATCATCACGTTTGTAATCAGAAGATATAGACTTAAGTCTTGAACATACAAAACATAATTACATATTCCCATTATTTATCGCATATTGCAGATTTTTTTCTCTCGTTATTGTTATCTTGATTGGGTTTCAAAGCTAATGGGCCTCTAACAAAGTCTATTGACGCAAAGTAGGCCCATCAAACCCAAACCTTCTACTTATTTGGCGGGTATTTTTTCCACATTCGTGAGAAGGACCCGTAGTCGTTTGAT